CTTGAGGGGTGTGTGTAAAGGGTTTAAAGAACTAAGGTTTGAATAATGGTAACAAATGGGACGATCAAAACTACATTACAAGGCAAAGGTTCTAAAGTCAAAATGCAGAATTTTGTACAGCTCGGATACTAAACTTTAGGATGGGGTATTATATTCAGGATGTCTGAATTTAATTCGTGTGAAGTTTGTACCAAAAGCACCTCTTGCTGTGATCATCTTAGAATATCCACTTTGGTTAAATTGTTTTCTATGTACAGTATTTTGCAAGAAATYCCAGCCGGAGATCTTTCTGGGCTAGTTCTCTCCATGCATGTGCAAGTTCTACCCRATGGACTGAAAACATGCATGTTTGGCTAATACAAATTGTCTCTAGGTGAGATTGTAAATGTGGCCCTGTGAAAGAACAAATGGTCCAGGGTGTACTCTGCTTCCCCTCGCACAGCGACTACTGGATATGGGCACCAGTGAAGCAGCCTCAGCTTTTATAGAAAGTACACTTAATTTAAATTGGTCATCTTTGTCTAGCAAGAGTAGATGTAATGACAAACTCAAAATGTACTTTTCTCTGAGACATAAAACTTAAGATTTATCCACACATTATGCCAAGTATTAGAAAATGTGAATTCCAAAACTTATTTTTGAGCACAATCTTTTGGATTTGTACATTTATGTGCAATAAATGCACCTGAAATTTTCAGCTACACGGTTGAGTATTACCAGTCAAGTATGCATGTGACCACTGCCATCAAATCAGCCTTTAACAAAAACAACTTGATTAGGCTTTTGTTATCAATGTGGCAATGTGTGGGGTATGACAGTGCACGTGACAAAATAAAAAAAAAAACAGGACATCTTTTTCTTTTTACAGTTACTAATGCCGATGTGTGAAATTGGGCAACACATCCCAGTAGAGATTACCATTAACATTCAATTGCATTGTTTTACACCTGCCTTATCTACCTTAAATTGGTTTTATTATGACCCCCGCTTATGCTTCATGTGCGGGGGTCATATTGTTTTCGTACTGCTTTTTTTTTCCACTCTGGAGATTTTTGGTCAACCGTAGCACAAAATTGGCAGCCACCAATAAACATGAAATTTGGCAGGACTGTATAAGAGTCTGACCTACACTGCACCAGCCAACGATTTTAGGATAGACCCCATATTTGAGGAGTGGGCTCCTTTCAAAGTGGGGGTGTCAGGNTCCCATGGGTCCCAAGCCCCCCCAGCAGCCACAGCAGTATCCTGACTACCCTCCCATGGACCCTGAGCCTCCAAATCAACCTGGCCATTCATCCAGAAGTCAGCACTGGCCACGCTACTTGGGGAAGCAACAAAATCGGCTGAAGTGGCCTAATAAACCACATCACCTTATCAAACGACCTCAACTGTTACAGAAACAACCCTAGACAATTTTCAGTCTTTGTGAGTATCATTAACGTGTGCAAGTATTTGTTTTCCCCCTTTTTCTAATTTTTCTTCTCCCCACCCCACACCCCCCCACACAGGCTCAACCAGACAAGTTTTTTGAGCTGCAGAACTACTGTAATGCAATGCCAAATAAAACCTGACTTGAAATATGACACTGGGTTTGAGCTTTTGTAAATCTGACATTAAATCATTTTTTGAAAGCTAGGTTGAGTTTATGCTTTTGAGAGTTTAGATTTGCATGTTAACTGTCCTAGTAGAATGTGGCATGGCTAAATGCTAGTTTTAATGACTTTCACCTAGGTATTAAATGCTGTATGGACATGTCTTAGGTAACCAGATTGGTTAATRAAGACCATGGCTAAAATAACATWAAATCTGCATTGGCTCTGGATTTACTTGCTACAGATACGGTATTTAAATGCAAAGTACTTAAAGCAAATGTTTGGCTTCTTGAGGGGTGTGTGTAAACGGTTTCAAGAACCTGACCTGAGGTTTGAATAATGGTAACAAATGGGACGATCAAAACTACATTACAAGGCAAAGGTTCTAAAGTCAAAATGCAGAATTTTGTACAGCTCATACTAAACTTTAGGATGGGGTATTATAAATTCAGGATGTCTGAATTCGTGCGAAATTTGTGCCAATAGCACCTCTCGCTGTGATCATCTCAGAATATCCACTTGGTTAAATTTTCTATATACAGTATTTTGCAAGAAATCCCAGCCGGAGATCTTTTTGGGCTGTTCTGTCCATGCACGTGCAAGTTTTACCCAATGGACTGAAAACATGCATGTTTGGCTAATACAAATTGTCTCAAGTGAGATGGTAAATGTGCCCCTGTGAAAGAATGGATGGTCCAGGTGTACTCTGCTTCCCCTCGCACAGACTACTGGATATGGGCACCAGTGAAGCAGCCTCAGCTTTTTTTAGAAAGTACACTTAATTTAAATTGGTCATCTTTGTCTAGCAAGAGTAGATGTAATGACAAATTCAAAATGTACTTTCCTCTGATACAAAACAAAGATTTAACCACACATTATGCCAGTTATTAGTAAAGGTGAATTCCAAAACTTTTGAGCACAATCTTTTGGATTTGCACATTTACTATGTGCAATGAATGCGCCTGGAATTTTCAGCTACACGGTTGAGTATTACCAGTCTAACTTAAATGGTTTAGCATTAGCTTAAGCCTGAGAGGATTGCTCTTATAACAGAGATGAGCTCTTTTTTATTTTAAAAGTATTTGTGACTGTTTTGTAAGTATGCATGTGACCACTGCCATTAAATCAGCCTTTAACAACAATACTTTGATTATGCTTTTATCAATGTGGCAATGTGTGGGGTATGACAGCACGCATAACAGAGCGACACAGCGTTGGCGGTCATGGCGATCTGGATACGTCCAGAAACAAACGTCGGGGTCACCAGTGTG